GATAAATTGATAATAAAAATCATATTATTTAGTTCTCTTATGATAAACTAAATTATGACTAACATGAATAAAGTTTTTATTGTTACACTACATATGATGGGAAAAAGGATGAGACTTTGTTTATGTTATGTAGAGAAGAAGAAACAAATGATGAATTAAGAATGTCATACGGAAGGTGACGACGAGTGATGATAAATTGATAATAAAAATCATATTATTTAGTTCTCTTATGATAAACTAAATTATGACTAACATGAATAAAGTTTTTATTGTTACACTACATATGATTGAGATGAGAGAGAACAATATATCCTCATAAAAGAAAATTCTAAATGTTTAATAAAAAAACCTCATAGGATTATTGTTTCATAATAAACTTGTATGTAATTTATAGTGAAATTATTCAATCATTACAAGAAGTTAGTCTAAAAGCCTATAAAAGTGAGCCACTATGTATTACTAAAAGATGGATTTTATTTTATTTTTTTATTTAAAAAGTGACGACATTCAAATTGTAATGAACTTTTTTTTTTTTTGAAAGAGAATTTTATTTAAAATGTAACTAACATATATTTACTATAATCCACATATCATATGCTTTTCTAACTATTACAAATATAAAATTTAAATTTAACCAAAGCTCAATATAAGTTGAGAGCTTGATCTAAAGTCATGATTTCTCATTTTGTTATTTGTTTATTAAGAAGAGAAATGATTTTTTAATTTCATCCTTCTAATTTAATCCCATAAAATTGATACAACAACAACAACGCCTTTATATCACTATGTGGGGGTCAGCTACATGAATCCTTTTTCTCTATTGTGTCATGCTAAGGATAAAATTCTCATTTAAATCTAATAAAGAAATGTCATTTCTAATATTTTCTAACCAAGTTTTTTTAGTTATACCTCAACATTTTTTAATATAAGTCAAATCAAATAAATCTACTTTTCTAACCTGGTCATCAGAGGCTGACATTTTATTTGACCAAACCATCTAAGGTGACTCTGTCTAATATTATCTTCCACTGGAGCTGCTCCAACCTTTTCACGTATGAGCACATTTCGTATCTTGTCTTTAAGAGTAAAGTCGCTCATCCACCAAAGCACTCATCTCTACAGCACTTAACTTAATATTATGCTTCTCTTTTAATGGCCAACATTCGACAGCATAAAACATTGCAGGTCTCACTACCATCTTACAGAATTTTCCCTTCAGTTTGAGAGGAATTTTCTATCACATATAAAGCCCGATGCATTCTCCACTTCAACCATCCAACTTGAATTCAACTAGTAATATCCCTATCTATTTCACACATCACTCTGAATAATAGACCAATTATATCTAAAATGTGTCTTTTATAATTACTTGATCACCCAAGTCATAATCCCCACTAGATCATTATCATAAAATTACACTCAACTATTTAGTTTTAGATCTACTCAAACGAAAGTCTTTAGACTCTAAGGTTGACCTCCATAATTCAAGCTTACCTTAACTCCCTCTCTATTCTTATCAATAAAAAGAATATCACCAGCAAAAAGCATAAACCAGGGTTCAACCTCTTGCAAATATCTAGTGAGAACATCCTTGACTAAAGCAAAAAAGATATAGGCTTAAGGCTGAACCTTGATGTAATCCAACTGAAATAGGAAAATACTTGGTCAAACCACCTTGTTTTTTAACACAAGTAATAGCTCATGCATACCTATATTTAATGACTTGAATATAAGAATTATTAACTCTTTTCTTATGTAGAACTCACCATAGCACTTTCTTGGAACTTTATCATATGCTTTCTCTAAATCAATAAAAAAATATGTAATCCTCATTATTCTATCTATACTTTTTGATCAAACCTCTCAATAAATGTATAGCTTCCATAATAGACCTACATGGCATGAATCCAAATTGTTTTTGAAAAATATTAGTGTCATGCCACAACCTATGCTCCATAACATCTCCCATAGTTTTAAAGTATAACACATTAACTTATTTCCTCTATAATTCGCACAATATTTTACATCAGTTTATTCTTAAAATTAAGAATCAACACACTCATTCTTCACACATATGACAACTTTTTAGTCTTCAAAATAATATCAAAAAGTTTAGTAAGCTAAAAATCCTTCATCTCCTAAGTATTTCAACACCTCTATTGGAATATCATCAGGTCCAATAGCTTTTTCACACTTAATTTTCTTTAAAGCATTTTTAATTTCAGTTTTACTAATCACCGATAAAAAAAATTATTTTCATATTAGGGTTTAAATCACTAAAGTTAATTGCATTCTCATAAAATAATAATAATTATTATACTATTATTAGTACATTATTATTATCATTATATTATCAATTTTATTATCCAACAATTCCATAAAATGATGAAAGAATAAATTGATAATAATAATAATAATAATAATAATGATGATGTGATGATGACTCCTCTGAGACAGTGGAGAAAAAATATTTATGTAGCTAACTCTATAGGGTGGACTTCTACCTTTTGAAACCTCGACCAACTCAATGTTGAGTTGGACTCGCTAAACTTGCATAGATATTGAATTCCTCTAAACTTTCCTTTGAAACCATGATTTTTTAATTATAATACACTTTATTAAATAATATATTGATTCAACAGTGCCTATGTATATAAAATTATTATTAAGTGATAAAAAGTACAATAAAATAAAATGTACTTCATAATAAGAATATACAATAATAATGACAATAAATCTCTACTATAAATATAGATAATGTTCTAATATTTACACAGCAACAAATAGCAACGTTTTTAAAACCGGACCGGACCGGCCGGTTCAACCGGTTGAACCGGGAACCGGTTCGGCGGACGGTCCGATCTGCCCCTTTAAATCGGGCTGCATTTCAACCGGCAAAAAACCGGGTCCAATGCCGGTTGAACCGCTAAACAGGCGAACCGGACTCCGTTAAAAGAACCGTCCGGTTCCGAAAATTCCTAATCAGAGCTGTTTATCTCAAATCCAACAGCCGAAATTGAATTTTAGTCTCATTAAGCGGGAGTCGAAACTCGAAACACTTATTTCGCTGATTTCATTCGATGCTCGCAATCCCTACGGGACCAACGAAGAAGACGACGGAGGCTTCACGCTAGGAGAGCTGAACGGCGGCATTTTCATTTGCAAGTGAGTCGAAACACCTTAAGGGCATGCTTTCCGTTTTCGTCTCTCTTTTTGGTCGGGCAATGGTGTTGCCGTGCCGAGACCTAAGAGCAGCTTTCCTTTTTGCCTTTTTGGTCCGACAATGGTGTTGTCGAGTTGTTGGTCGTGCTGTTTGTATTTTTTTTATGTATGGTTCATTCGCCTTTGCCGCAACCGAGACCAAGAGCGATGAGGGAATTTCGGATTTTGTTCAGTTTTAAGCCCTAACCGACATTTAAGCCCTATCCGGGATTGCATATTTGCATTCATGTATGAGATATCAATTATCATATTATTGTAAATGCTATTGAGCTTCACTGCATATTTGCATTCATGTATGAGATATCAATTATCATTGAAGCCCTTCACTGACATATACATATTTTCGGATTTTGTTCAGTTTTAATCCGGATTTGTTCGGTCAATTGATGGTTTGGAACGTCGAGGTGAATTTCTGTCATTTTCTGCGCTAAGTGCTGACATTTTGGAGGTAAATTTTCTTTTTATCTATGCTTTGATTAGTCTATGTCTATGCTTAAAACTGAACATTGCTTGGAATCACATTCTGTTGTTTAAAACTATGCTTTAAATCCATATTAGTCTATGCTTCAAAATGTCATAACATTGCTGGTGAATGTCTATGCTTTAAATCTAGATTAGTCTATGCTTAAAACTTAACAGAATGCTTAAAACTGAACAAACTCTATGTCTATGTCTATGCTTGTTAGTCTATGCTTTTGATTAGTCTATGCTTTGATTTGTCTATGCTATTGTATGAATGAATGTATAAGAAGAAAATTTAACATCTATTTTATTTTATTTAATAATAATATTATTTATTACGTCATCCGGTTCGACCCCGATTCGACCAGTCGAACCGTGAACCTCTCCTTCTTCTGGTTCATTGTCCGGTCCGATTTTCACAACGTTGACAAATAGTTTTAAAAACTCTTAGCAAATCATCATCGGTGACTTATGTCTGCTATTATTTAGATTTTTCAAGATATTTTTTTTTTGGATTGTCAAGATAAATCATAAAGTATGTAGCTTCAACACATAATCTCAAGTAAAAAAAATCTCCTTTAACTAATGAGCCACGAGTCTTTCACGACTTTTACAAGAAATTTCTCCCTCAATTAGATTATGGCTTCATTTGGGACGATTTCTTACTGCTTCTTAAAGCAGCTTTTTATTAAAAAATTAAAATTTTTGTACTAAAAAACTGTTTCTGCAAGAAAGTCATCCCTCCTTGGCCTATTGGTTGAGAGCTTAGGCTTCCAACTAAGAGGTCTAGGATTCGAGTCTATGTGTATGCGTTGTGTGTGTGAGTTTGCCTTAAATGGCCTAAATATCCCAAAAAAAACTTAAATCATATATTTTACATATAGACTAGTGATTATATCCCATAACAAAATCTTACTTTCACAATGCAAAAAATAAACCAAACATGGAAAGATTTAGACAGCAAAATACTATGGTAAACATAAAATCTATAGGAGAAAGTTTCTGACACAAACTTAACAAAATGATCATTGCCATTATGCAATAACCAAACTCTTAAACTCTATGCTACTCAAATTTCAATGAATATGCAATCTTTAGCAACAGAAAAAAGGATTACTGTTGAGGCAAAATACTAAAATCTGAAGCTAAAAAATGGCAAGCAAAATGGTAGGCTTACTTGTCATCTAAATTACTTAGGTTTCGTTTAGGACAGCTTTCTTATTGTTTCTTAAAGCAGTTTTTTTAGTACAATAAATAAATTTTTATACTAAAAAACTGCTTTAAGAAGCAACAAAAAAGTCATCCCAAACAAAACCTTAATCAGCCTCCTCGTCTAAGTCATCATCATCACAATCATCCTCACAGCTTGATGGATAAAGTTCATAACTATCATAAAAAGGATCTTTGAAGAACTTTAGGGCATCACACTTCATGCCAACACCACCATCAAGCTTCACATTCCAGCACCCATTTATGTCAAGAGAGGATAAAGCTCTGCAGTTGCTTAGAATAGCATCTAAGCCATGGTCACTAAAGCGCCCAAAGGCTAGCTCGAGCTGCTCAATCCCTTCCATGGTGTTTGCGATAGCTAAAGCCTCATCTTCATTGATTTTGGCTGCCACACCATTATCTTGGGTTGATTCGTACTCAGGAGGAGTCATGTTTCTTCGCAAATTAACAAGAGATGTGCAATTCTTTCCCAATGTGAGGATTCCTTTGGAAGTGATATTTTTGCAGTAGCTGATGTCCAAAACAGCTAGAGCTGTTAGGGTTCCAGAAGATTTTTGTATGGTGAGATCATTAATCTCACTCATTGGAATTTGCAATACTCTGAGGTGATTCCCACTGCAGTTGTACAACAAATCAATGTTCATAAGATGAAGATAGATTATGAAAAATAATAATAAATATATGGCGATTATTTGATTAAATAACCTGAAAATATCAATAAAACACGATTGATTATCTCATAATAACAGCTAGTTCACATGTGTGGGTTAAATTGCTAAAAATAAATGTCATTTATCTCCATCCTGAATGACTAAAAAAAGGATCTATTTATGTATAAGACTTTTTTTTTAATTCTTTTTTATAAAAGAAATTCTATTCGATAGAGCAATTAAGTCAGACATAGTTAATCTAATCTACATCTCATATGCTTCTCTAACTATTAAAAAGAAAAAAAAGTTAAACTTAAATTTAATTAAACCATAAAATAAATTGAGGGTTCAATCTTAAAAATGAAGACTTCTTGGTTAATTAATTAATTTGCTGCACTGGCTTCAGTATTAGTTGAGTTTGCTGGTTTTATTGCAATGGAATCTTACTGGTTTTATTTGCAATGGCTATTGTGTGTCTTGGTTCCTGTTTCATGGCAAAGTTCGATTTTTTTTATTTCAGTATATTCTGCTATGAATTAACTTTCAATCACCTTAGTAAGTTGTACTTTTGCCTAGTTGGGGTTCCTATTTGCTGGCTTACTGCCTTGTTGGTTGCTTCCTTGTGGATTTTTTTGGTTGTTTAACCAGGTTTTCTATCTTGTTGAATGTTGAACACTGAACAACCTGAACTAATTTATGGTGTAGCCTGAATTGAACTATTATTGATGATAATTTCTTATTCTACTAGATTAATGGATTTAATTTATTTGAACTAATTTGCTTTTGCTAGATATCTTTAGATATATGCCTTTAATCTGATAATTTTCTTTTAATAGAGCGATGTGAGAAACCTCCAAAAGTAAAAGTGTGAATTCTGTTGGGGTAAATGCAACCAGGTGTCTTTTGTGTTCTCTTAGACCGAACAAATACTTTATAATTAAACAGATACTATTAGCCAAGCTAATACAAACTGTCGTCTTGGAAGATAATCCATTAATGTTCTTTACTTATTTACATTTTAGTATTTGATGACTGATTTTGAGGTTTAATCTAAGCTCTATAAATGATAATCAAGCATATTGCAAATTGACAATTACACAGTTTAACCATTTTTAGACTTTTAGTTATTTAACTTTTTTTAGTATTTTTCTTATTTTTTTGCAGATGAATCTCATCTCCACTCCATGACTTGGAGGGGGTGCAAAGCAGCAAAGTAGATTAAATTGGAACAATTTATTTGATTTTTTTAAAATTTTTTATAAATGTAATTTATAATTTGTGTTTGTATAAATGTAATGTATATTAGTAACACTAATTGTAATATATTCTAAACTCTGTATGTACTTGATAGTAAAATTTTTCCATTTATGTATGTTCAAACAATTAAATTAACATAGCAATAAGCTAATAAACTTGATTTTTGACATTTTGTATGTTTAAAGTTTCAAGTTTCAACATTTATATTTTAATAATTTAACATTTACATTTTGAATGTTAAAAATTTGTAATTTTTTAATAGTTTATAATTAACATTTAAATTTCATATGTTTTTCAATTTTGGGTATTTTAATTGAATTGGTTAAATAAATATGAAATAGAAGAAATTGGGAAAAGAATGGGTTGGCGGATCATTTCAGGTTGACCCAAACCCAAAACAGGTCGAGTTTGGGTTTGGATTTGCTACTAGTTTCCTTAATTAAGTCAAGTCTGGTGGAAGTAGTTCAATTTCAGGTTGGACTTGAACCCGAATCAAAGATCCATTTTGACACTCCTAACTGCTACGACATATGAATGATATCCATAATGAATTTACTGGTATACAAATAGTATTGTTTTCCTACTTTACTATTTTATTGGCCTTCATACTGCATTTACCAATTCAAAAATTTTATTGAATAGTATATTTTTATTATTTTTGCACAAATTTATGATCATATTAACTATTATTGTTATAACATGAATGATTACATGCGTAATGTTTCTTTACCGTGATTTGTTTTTATTTATAGGATTTTAGTGACGTGCTCGACTTTTTAGCTCATTATATGTTATTTAAATAATTTCATATCAGAAAATAGGATTAAGAGTGCGATACTAATCAATTACAAAATTCCTTAAGTTTTACCCTTTTTATTTTAGTTATTTTTTTGTACTCACGAATGAAAAAAATGAATAGTTGTATTTGTATGACTCATGATGCTATATATAATTTTGGATAGTGATTACATGTGCACATTGGTGTTTTGATCAATATAAGTTGTTTTCACTGGTATTTCATTATTGAAAGAAACTAGATGGCTCTAGTTATTACATAAAAAAATAATAATTTTTTCAAATTAGATTGTGGGACATGACAATCAATATTCCATGAATACCCTCATCTAAGCTACATGAGGCATACAACTATGGAGAGCCCACAATCATGGTTCCATCACCTATGTTCATTCCTAGTTCATAATCATATTTGTCTAGAAAACTCGTTAGTCTTGAGGGACTCGCCATTTTCCTAGGGATTCCCCTTCATGAACTCACCGATGATGTCCGTTTCGAAGTATTCGACGAAGGCTTTCGACCCCAAAGATTAGCCCTTGGCACCTAAGTCCAAGTACTCACACCATGCAGTCTCCCCCAACACTCGCCACCAAGGACTTGCATAGGGTACGCCCAGGGACTTCCCGAGCTACGCCAAAGGCAGATGGCCATGCATACACATTAATTTATAAATAGAGTTATTTTAAATGTTATGTATGTAAATCCCCTAATTTTTATTCTAGCATGCATTGCAGAACTACTCTTCTGTAGTACCAAAACTAAGATATCATCTACAAAGTGTTTGTAGATTCAAAGCAAGGATTGTTAAATTAATTACACAATTTGATTATTAAAGAACAATATGCTTCTCTAGCTTATTTCTTTTAATCAGAATAATTCGTCTTCTTAAGTGGTTGGTACCTTCATTTTTCTCATTTATAGTATATTGTATATAATCTGACACCTAGAAAAGAAAAAAAAATGTCTCAAAGACATCGTTTCAATATATGTGAATCAGATCAACCAATTTGGAAAATCAAAATAACTTCTCTTCCACCTCTCTGCCCCCCTACATTTTCATCATAAATTCCTTCTAATTTACTCCATTAACAAATAACCAGAATTTGTCGACTGTTTTTATGATTAAAGAAACTTGACTCACAGTGTTTAAACAATGACAGTGCATCACATATTACTTAGTCCGTAAAAAAGAAGTAAAGAAAAAGAAACCCAGAATTTCTTTAAAAAAATCTGAATGATAGATCAACAGGAAAAACGTAAGGCCAAAAAGTAAATAGACAAAGATTTGTTTGTAATTGCTTTTCTGAAAAATAATATTCAAAGCTTGAATCTACTTGCATTGATTTCATCCAGTAATGATAATCGGAATTATTGACCATGTTAAACAAGCCACAAAATAACAGAGATGAAAAGCTAAACCAAAAAGCACGGCTAAAATGCACGTAAAACATCACTCAAGAACTCAAAATAAGATGAATGAACGGATTCCAGCGAGGAAATGTGAATCAGTATCTCATTACCTCATGGGTTTGAGAATCATATATCAACAATTAGCAGTATATATGTGATCTTTAAAATCATCTAGTTGAAGTTGAGGAAAAAAAAACAGAACAAACAGAGCAAAAGAATCCGTAATAACGAGCGAGAAGGGAATCGAGGCGTTACAAATAGGCGGTGAGTGAGAATCCCCAGTTTCCAATGCGGTAGGCGCAGAGTCGTCGGAGCGTGTTGCGGCTCCGGCGGACAAGCTTCCTCACGGCGAAGTCGATGACATCGGGGCGGTCAACCCGTCGGCACCATTCCTCAATGTCGATATCTGACCAGCAGTAAGGTCCCAGCACCGCCTCCCGCCACCCGCGGCAGACGAGAGGCACTGTCCGCGCCAGCTCATCGGCTGGGATCCTCGTGAAGATGAGGGCCAACACCTCATGGTTCAACCCCTCCCAATACCTCCACTCATCGCCCACCACCGCTCTCGGCGATACTTCGCCGCTGCCTCCGGCGGTTTCACTTCGTTGCATCTTACGCCCCATACTCTCCACTTCCGGTGATGTGTCCATTATTACTCTTTCCCTGCGGAAGATACGACCTCGCGCTAAAAGTGATAACTAAATCCATTGGATTACAGACACGCGTCGACGATTTAAATTTGGACGGTCCGATTGATACAGCCCTACGGGAATGGATCAGTACGGAAGAGAAGATCAGACGCTGCGGGTGATCGGACGTAAATAGTAATTTGCTTCAAGAGGCGCAACTTAATAATGACGGCTTTAAAAAGTAATAACAAAATTATAAAAATTTAAACTTCAACAAATTTTTAAAAATTTAATAAGAAATAAAATTAAAAACATATCATTACATATACTTAAAATAATAAGCACTAGCATTTTCCTTGGACAACAAATTATTGATCTTAAAAAATCCTAATCCTTAACCTTTTTTATCTAAGCTTGAGATCGGCATTAACGGTTTTAAATTTTTTTTAACTTCATAAAAAAAGATAAATTATATTTTAAAAAACTTACAATAGATAATATTTGTTCTTCATATTTTTAATATATATTACTTATAATTTCTCTTTACGAGTTTTCATATTTTAAAATCATTGTACAATTTTTTCATTATCAATAATATTAAATATTAATGATATCTTTTCTTAATATATGTAATCAGACAATCATTATCCAATAGTCTTTAGTACGATTGCATAAATATTTCTTTAAGATATTTATAGCTGAGAATGCTCATTCGACCGTTGATATGACAATTAACAAAATCAGAGCAAGCTTTATAAGTAAAAATAACAAAGAGTAAATACATTTTTTCTTAGTCTCCACTAATGTTTGAGCAAGTTTTTTATGTCCTTCAAATTCATAAACACAACACTATATCTTATATTAATAATAAAATTATCAAGTTGGTTATAGAATATGATATCTATATTTAAAAATTTTGATGGACAAAACTTTGTCAGGTTTATCACTCGTGAATTATCAAAAGCTAAAAATGATGATATAATTTTAAGCATATCACACGCATCAATAGCTCTATATTTATTTCATCAAATTTATTATTGAGCCTTTAAAGTTGCATATCTATCACAGTGAAAAATAGTCCAATTTAATGATGATTCATATTTGTGATTACTTTAGTTTTTCACCTTGATCTTCCTCACATTACAAAAAGCATCATTCATATCCGAAACAAATATATTGTTTGCCTAATAAAACATATTTAAGCGTGACGACGTTTTTTTTTTTTTGAAGCATATTCTGAGCCGTAAAAATATCTATCATTTTTTCATGCATAGGAATATATAATTTTTAAGAAATATTTGACTTGATACGTTAAATTTTATTCACATAAAATTATCTTTAATGAGGAAAAATTTCTTATATACTAAAGTACACTATAAATAACGATGTATAAGAATTCATTACGAGTAATGAAATTAGGGTAAAGTATGAATGAGAAGCTCTCACAATAATTCCGTTATATTTAATGGGCGGGTCTTGATGGAGGGTTTAGAGGATTCACAACGACAACAACATCAAGTCTTTATCCCACTAAAAAAATTTGTTACTTGAGATGGAGTTTTTATAAATGATCAAAAACTCTCTGTGATCAATTTTATCAAAAGTAAATACTATTTACTTCACATAAAAGAAAAATATATTTATTAAATCACATTTAAATGAGTTTAATTTCATTATTTAATATTTTAAAAAATTAATATGACTATTAGTGATAAAGATAAAACTTGATTTATATAGTGATTTTTATCTCTTTCTTACACCACTTTTGATTATTGATGGAGCGGGTATTTTTTTCTGATAGGACACAAATCATTGATTTTAAAATACCCTCAACTTTTTTCATCCGGACTTGAAATCGACATTGACTATAATTTCTCTTTTCGAGTCTTCATATTTTAAAATCATTGTACAATTTTTTTCATTATCAATACTATTAATTATAATTTTTTTTAATATATGTAATCAGACAATCATTATCCAATAGTCTTTAATACGACTCCATAAATAATTCTTTACGATATTCACAGTTGAGAATGCTCATTCGACCGTTGTTATGGCAATTGACAAAATCAGAGCAAGTTTTATTAGTAAAAATGACAAAGAGTAAATACAATTTTTCTTAGTCTCCACTAATGTTTGAACAAGTTTTTTATGTCCTTTCAAATTCATAAATGCAACATTATATCTCATGTTAATAATAAAATTATCAAGGTGGTTGTATAATATGATATTTATATTTGAAAATTTTGATGGACAAAACTTTGTCAGGCTTATCACTCGTGCATTATCAAAAGCTAAAAAAGAGACATAAATTTAAGCATGTCACACACATTTGTAGCTCTATATTTATTTCATCAAATTTATTATTGAGCCTTTGAAGTTGCATATCTATCACAGTGGAAAATAATTCAATTTAATGATGATTCATGTTTGTGATTAACTTTTCACCTTGATCTTCCTCACATTACAAAAAGCATCATTCATATCCGAAAAAATATATTGTTTGCCTAAAAAAACATATTTAAGCGTGACGATGTTTTTTTGGAGCATTTTCTAACGGTTTGGTCCTCCTGTTAGAAAATCCGACAAAAAGGATCCACCGGAAATGCGACTGTCTAACCATCGGTTCTTTCCGTCAAAAGAACTGGGTCATTGTTCTGATGGGTAATCGGCCGATAATGTCGACAGATATTGTTTGTAGGAAAGTAATTCGTCATATAGTTGTTTCTGGTGGATAATAAGCTGGAAACCTGTACCAAAATTTTTAAAAAAATTAGCTAATTCTCTTAACATTGAATAGAAATACTGATGTTAAAGTAATAAGGCATTTGATCAAAAAAAAATTATACATTTTTCAAATAGTTCTAAAATAAACATCATATTCATTATACAATAAAATGAAACATAAAATTTATTAACATATAATAATAACAGATAATCTAATCAGAATATATATGTTTCATCATTCTCCATTTTTGCAGATGATTGTTGCTTTCCACTGAACTACTCTCTCATTCTCTATAACTCCTCCAATATTTGACTTTACTGCATATGCATCTACATTTGCATGTCAGTTTGTGATTTTTGAACTTTATCTAGCTCTGGTATAAGGGTAGCCACATGTTGGTCATATAAAGTCTCCTGGCCGCTTGATGAGAAGCCGGAGCCACCAAAGGTCTACACCTCATACATGTAGGCTTGCGAGCCTAATCCATAAACTTGTTCTTGATGCAACCCTTGGATCGGCAGCAGCTCCTGGAACTCCGGCAAGACCTGAAACCAAAGAAAAGCAGAGAAAAACAAGGGAAACAGGGAAATTCTCCCTGAATAAGTAGCTGTATTTCTTTCTGTATGTATGAAAACTGTGTTTCTCCCTTACAAAAGAGATATAAGTAAGTATCTTCCCCTCAGGTAACGTTACATGCTTTCCTATAATTGTAATAACCAGCAAAAAGAGCTTAATAACTAAAATAGTACTAAGTAGTGGAGGCTAAAAAGGCCTAACCGTAAGCAGGAATAAAAAGGTAAAAGGGAGGCGCGGGTAGATGCGACCTCATCCCGGTGGACGCTGCATCCGTCTTCCCCAGCGGAAGAAGAGCTCGACTCCGACGAGCTGAGTAAAACGGGAGCGTCATCAGCTGAATGATAAGGCCAGATATCAGCAACGTTGAAAGTGTTCGAAGTCTGAGTGTCTGTAGGTAAATCCACAATATAGGCATTGTCATTTATCTTGGCGACGATGGGTACAGGACCAATTTTTCGGCGGTGTAATTTTGAATAAGTGCTTGGGGGAAAACGTTCTCGACGCATTCGCACCATAACTAAGCCGCCAATATTGAACAGCTTTTGTCGACGATGTGTGTCCGCCGCCACCTTATAGGTGCAATTAGATTTGATGAGCTGTTTGCGAACGTCTTCCAACATCTCCGCATAATTATTGGTGAAGTTTGAAGCAGATTCAAACTTGAATTTTGGAAGGACAGCAAGATCCAATGCAAGGTTAGGTACTTTAGTATAGACAATGCTAAAAGGTGATTTGCCCGTCGACCGATTGACCATTGAGTTGTATGCGAACTCAGCTGAGCTTAGCATTTCTTCCCACTGCTTGGGGTGTTCTTGGACCAAACACCGGAGCATATTTCCCAATGTACGATTCACGACCTCCATTTGTCCATCTGATTGGGGGTGATAAGCTGAACTCAGACATAGTTTAGTACCTAATCTTTTCCACAGCTCCCGCCAAAAATGGCTTATGAATTTAACGTCCCTGTCTGACGTGAGGCTCCAGGGCACGCCGTGCAGTCGAACAATTTGATGAAAGAACAGATGTGCTATATGCATGGCATTTGACGTTTTCTTGCAAGATACAAAGTGACTCATCTTAGAAAAACGATCAACAACTACCATTATAGAGTCATTACCTCATTGTGTTCGGGGTAGCATAAGGACGAAGTCCAAGCTGAGGTCCTCCCATATCGATTCGGGTACCGGAAGCGGTAAGTACATACCGATATTCTGAGAACCACCTTTGTATGTCTGACATACAAAGCAACGATCAACGAATCGATATACGTCCCGCCGGAGGCGGGGCCAGTAGAAACGGAATTGTACTGCTGCCAACGATTTGTCTCTGCCCGCATGGGCAGCCAAGCCGCTTGAGTGTGCTTCCCGAATGATGTGAGTCCTCCATGATGAAACAGGCACGCACAGAAAATTATGCCGGAATAGATATCCCAATCGGAGGCTGTAGCCAGCACTATTTCCCTGCGAAGGACATTGCTTCCAGATTTCTGCAAAGTCAGGGTCAGTTAATGCAAACCAAACCAGAAAAATCAGTTTGTAATTATGTGACAAGAGCCATTTTCTGGCTAAGAGCATCAGCTACCATGTTACTTTTACCCGCCTGGTGTTTCAAAGTAAAAGAAAACTTTTGAAGAAACGTCACCCAGCGTGCGTGCATCTGGTTGACGTGCTTTTGGCTGTTAATAAATTGGAGGGCTTATTGTCGGTGCAGATAATAA